GTGATTGATAGTATAAAAAGATGGACAAAATCAAATTTACGTTGTTCTGATATTAATGAATTGAATCAAGTTTAGTTTGAGGGAGACACTAAACTTGATGGTATAAAAAGATGCATTTTAGCCAGTAGACCAAAGCATTTTGTGCAGTTTACTCTTTGTTGTTATTTGTATCCTTGGGTGACAGGCCTAGTATTTTATATATCAAGCATATATATAAAGGGGACTTAATTATAATAGAATAAGCTTAGGAGTGGAAGCAAGTATGTATGATAGGAGGTGACACCTTATTGGCCATTATAACCTGGTTGGAGCTAGCTTGTATAAGATTTAGAATGATGGAAGTGCTATATATATTGGAACTTGGAAGGGAGATGTATGGTTTTTCCAAAATGAAGATAACAATAAGAAAAGACTATATGAGGCTAGGTGAGAGGTTTGTTGTTGAAGGTGTGGGAGTTGTTGGCATGTAATTATTTAGGTTCTAGCGATGCAAAAAATGGAATACTATGTGCCTGTGTTTCCCACAAGTTGACACAAAGTGTTGTTTGAAGGGAATCTACTCTCTAATATTGTGGGAGTGAACGAGTGTCTCTAAAGGTAGAGGTGTCAAAATGAATTTTCGGGTCGGGTTATGGTCGAACCGAAAAATGACTTGCTATTAGTTGGCTCAACTCAAATCCGACCCAATTAGAAAAACATGTCAAAAATCATAACCATAAACTAACTCGTTTCGGGTCCAGGTTGATCCAACAAGACCAACCAACCCATTCTTAATTTTATTAAAAAAAATTGCTAATTTCATGTGCGCAATGCACTTCTTAGACCAAACAAAGTACTTGGCCGGTTGATCCGCTGGGGGCTGGCCCAAATCATAATCAGAAAAGGCGCAATTATGAACAAAATTAAGTAATGGGTAGGATTTTGGAATTGGCTCGCTTCTGCAGCGAAATACATAATTGTTGACAGAGATCGCCTACACTTCTTCTGCCAAAATCAAATCTCGCTTTTCCCCAAGTCACTCGTGCGCTTCTTTTTGTTTGCCAAGGCATGAACGAAATATGATTTGGCACACATCTTCAGCAAAATTTATAAATCGGACGATGAATCATGCACTTGTTAAGCAAAATATGTAAATCGATTCGATCCAGGTTGAAATCGAGTTAACTTCGGGTTGGCGGGTTGACCCAAATTAGACCCGTTTATTAAACAGCTAGAATTTTCAGACCTAAAATGGACATGTTTGTTAAACGAGTCAACTAGAACCTTAAATTTTTTGATCGGGTCTGGGTTGTATCATTTTTTGACACCCCCTATCAACAAGTGAAGGATCCTTCACACAATCTACAAATTTGACTCCCAGTTATATGAATATGCGTGACATTATTATTATTACGAATAAAGATGAGGTTAATTGAGTGTTGTCAATGGCTTTGATATTGAACATGAGGAATTTAAGAAAGGGAGGTAAGTTGATGCTGCTAAACTTAAAATAGAGATCCTAAAGAAGGAAGAGGCATATTGGCCTATTTGAGAGTAGAAGGAATACCTTTACATTGGCAGCTATGATACCATGAAAATTAACTATTATAGAGGTTAAATTGATTCTAAGCAGGAAACGTATGAGTAGAAGAGAAGAGAACAAAGGTAAATGAAAACAACATAACAATTTCATTGATTAAATCGGTACAATAATGTGAAGCTTTTTCTATAGTATATTGCTAGATAAATATAACATGCTCTAATGATTTATTTTTTGCGGATAATGATTATATCAAAGACAATTTACATTTTATGATTGATAATCATTCATCGTTTTGCTCGGTCATTCATAATATAGTTAATAATACAAATATAAAATAGTAAATTTTTAAACAAAATTTTAATATTTTATTCAAATTATTGAAGGAGAAAAAAAAAAGAGCAAAAAACAAATCTAATTTTTAATTGGGTCACTAATATACAAGTACTAATAATCTATTCTAAAAAATGCACTAATTATTTGTTAAGAACTTTGGTTGAAGGAATTCAAGTTTTCTTTCATTAATAAATTAATTCTTTTTTGCTTAAATGAAATATCTTAAATTGTTACCTGATGGGCTAATACTAATTCTTACCAAGAACTAAAATAGTTAAACATAGTTAACAGTTTTTTTAGCTGCCTTGTTAATCCTAATCCCTTCAAAACCAATTAATTTGATCTTTAATACGATCTCCATAAGATGTTACGAAGAAGTTTAATAAACATCCAAATTGAATAAATCTCGAAGCTTCTTATAATCAACGAATAGTAACAAATCCACTGAAAATTTCCTACTATCTTAATTATCTGATCCTATGTTAAAACTTCAGTTCGCGGCTTTGCAATTGCTTTAGCGGTTCTCTTCATTTTAGTCCCACGTCGTCAAAGAATTATAGAGCGCGGCGTCATTGTAGTATAAATGATGCTGAAGATGGATTTTTAAAGCATACCTTTCTCGGCCTTTTGGCTAAGATCAAGTGTAGTATCTGTTCTTATCAGTTTAATATCTGATACGTGGGCTATTAGCCTACTATGATATTAAATTAATTTTTGTTGGGGAAGGGCCCGTCACGGTAGCTTGCTGCTGGGGCCCTTGGGCGTCGCTCTTGCGTTGCACTATAGCAAGAGCCTGGCGCACCCCTACCAAATCAAATTTCAATGTTTGCTATGTGGAGAATAGTGTTGATTTCTTTAGATAATAGTGTATGTTAAAATTTTTAAGACTGTTTACATAAAGCAGCGTTATTCAACTAAGGTGTTTATTTGCAGTAGTTTAGGAGCTAGGTCGTCTATATGCCAATGCTAATTTGGTATGATAAGTGTGCTAATTTAGTGAGCAAAAAAATATTAAATTTGTTATTGAATGGTTTGATGATTATTTTAAATTGATTTTTGGAGGTGATAAAAGGGCCTGCAAATGGAACTTTTATTAGGTTCCGTCAGAGGTAAAATTCTGCCAAAAAATTTGGTATTACTAGGTATTATTTGATAATAATGAGTAATACCGCTCTGTGACGAGCAATATCGAGTTTTACCGAGTTTTTTCTAGGAAAAACTCGGTACAACTTTTGTATAACTCGGTATTGCTCGGTATAACTCGGTATTGAGTCTTCACGTGATGATATTCCTCTTTATTGTTTGGTATTGCTCGGTATTTCTCGTTTTTTGACGTAATAATTGTTCCTACAAATGGAGGGTGCAGAATATTGGACGCGACTGAGGCTGAGCGTGCGGGGCATCGAGCCGCGAGCTGAGTTTGGATGGGGATTTAGCGTGTGAGGGGTCGAGCTTCAAGCTGAGTTTGGACGGAGACTTCGTGTCCGAGCATGCGTGGGTCGAGCCGCGAGCTCAGTTTGGACGAGGACTTCAGACTTGTCACGCGATGTCAAGGTGTGCAGGTGCGGGGCAACAACCAATTACGAGAGCGGGGCACCAAATGCAACGCAACGCATCGGAGTCGGGACAAGTGCGGAAAGCGGTGCTTGTTGGTCAAACTTGAGTTGATTTGAGGTTTCCGGGTTAACTCAAACATGATCTAATTTTATAAATGGGTCGAAATCTTGAAACCTAAACATAATCCCAGTGGGAAACAAGTGACCCGATTCTAGAATTTTTCGGTTCGGGTCCTAGTCGGGTTTCAGGTCGGGTCAAATATTGACACCCCTACATATGTATGAACTAATGAAGTATGAGTTCCAACAAGAAGATGATGATAACAACAAAAAGGTGATGAAGACCACAAAGGTCAAAAAATTTTAGTCAACAATGAATGCATAATGATGTTTGTTGATGTTCATATAACTTCGTAGAAAGAGGTTAATATTGATAATTTCAAGAGAGTTTATTGAGATAAGAGAAAAGAGAAATTTTGGATGCAATGGCTTTATTTTGTTAGAGGTGTCTCAATGGCCATGCAAGAAGACAGTAGTGGGTGCCCAAAAAAGTGTGTTGGAATTGAGTTTTAAGAGAGTGGAATAGGAGAAGAAGAATACCTATGATAAACCCTAAACTCTTAGAGATGGTAGAGGGTTTGACATAGTTGTAATTTGAAGGTGATTGAGTTAGGTTAGGATATGAGAAGAATAAGTAGTTACAATTAAGATGAAAAAAGGCTTGATGGGTTGTTGGATGTATGAAATGAGGAAGATAGAGATGTGAGAGTCTCCAGAAGGAGATAAGATTAGATTAAGGCTCTAATATCATATTAGACTGTATAAAAAATCACATATTTACTCAATAACTATGATAAAAAATCACATATAAGGCTCTAATATCACATATTTACTCATAAAAATTTCTCAAGATATTTCCTATTCATTTTCTGCCAAACTTTAATTTCTAAATAAAAATTGTTATTGTCACTGAATCATCAATTTTTAGTCTTACATCACTTAAATTCTTTTACACATTCAGTTTAATATTATCATTATTTTTCACCCAACAAAACTTTTAAATTCTATTATCTCATCCTTCAGCACTTCAAATGCATTAAAATATCAGATTCTCATGATATCAACTTTGTTTCCTCCTTCCAAGAAACATGTGAGATTACATATTTCCTTCTAACATTAATTTAGGCTTCGTTTAGGACGACTTTTTTACTGATTAAAGCAGCTTTTTAATATAAAAATTAAAATTTTTATGCTAAAAAGATGTTTCAAGAAGAAGTAAGAAAGCTATCCCAAACGAAGCCTTAAACTAAATCACATAATAGTTGGTTAAGGCTTTGTTTGGAGCAATTTTCTTACTGATTTTTAAAGCTATTTTTTAGTATAAAAATATTTTAAATTAAAAAATTTTCTACAAAAAAAGTAGTAAGAAAGCTACCTTAAAGGAAGCCTAAAACACCAAAATTAAAAAAAAAAAAAAAAAAAAAACCCCCTAAAAGAAACCCAAAAACCCAAACAAAAAAAAAAAAAAAAAAAAAAAAAATTCCAAGCCATGCAAAAAGCAAAAGTACATAAAATTTCTACCGATAAATGACAGATAGAAGCTTTTTTTTTTACTGATACTTTCACTGCCTATGATTCTTCCACAAAACAAAATTTTGAACTCAATACAGCCAGAAACAAGAATTTCATCAGACATTACTGTACAGAGACTATGGAAAGGGAAGACTAATGTGAGCCATTTCTATATACAAATGATTATAAAGTTAAAACTCAGGCTCAAGACTAAGTTCATCTTCAATATCATCACCCTCTTCAAAAAGCTGTAGAAATCGTGCCTGATCTTGTTCTCTTTTTCTCTTCTGCCAATACTTCTGAGCAGCCACCATTCCAACTATGACAATTAGAGATGCCAATAGACAGATGATAACTATGAGAGCTACATTTCGTTTATTGTGCTTTGTTGAAGTACTCTGGCTTTGCCCATTATCAGAATCTTTCATCAAAAGAACTTAATCAGAATCATCAAAGTAAACTTTTGTCCAAATTAAATGAGCTAAACAGGAATTTAAATATTAGAATCTGCATTAGCTTGCAAATCATTATAGGAGAATTCTAATAAATCAGTGGATGTATGAATATCTGAGAAGAATTTGAGATTTTGTTTGGGACGGCTTTCTTACTGCTTCCTAAAACAGTTTTTTAGACTAAAAAGCTGCTTTAGGATGCAGTAAGAAAGCCGTCCCAAATGAAACCTGAGAAAGATTATAATTGTGGTGTGTGGTTTGTAGTAGTATTCTGCTTTTTACCCGGCAAAAGAAATGTCTTTCATATGCAATTTCAATTGCTCTAGAATTACAGTATAAAAAGGGTGCCATTTTTATTTTTAAAAAGAAAAATATCAGTGAGATTAATTGATCACAAATGGTATCACAATTTTCCTATTTAATCCAAATTTAGTTCTCGACTATACAATCTATATGTGATCAATTTAATCGTAAAGTATCACATTTTTCCTATTTAATTCATCGACTATATAAAATTGATCCCCAAGTAGAAATTAACGAGCATTAAAATATGAAATTGATCAAACTTTAGCTCTCGACTATACAAATTGATCTCAATTTTGTTCCCAAGAGAGCATTTGAAATCAAATTTGTATAATTGAGATACTAAAATGGAAAAATCTGATACTAAAGGACTAGATTGGAAAAATCTGACTAAATTTGTATAAAAAATTTGTTGTGTTCTATTTCCTTTCAATTCTTTGTTCTCAGTGATTTGAATAAGTCATGAACTAATTCCCAACAAACTGGAGATGTCCTGTATGATTCGATTGATAATTCAACTCCAGAAGTTCTTAGTTTCATGTGACAAATATTCATAGTTTTATTCCTGTGGTTAAAAACGGATTAAAAAACAATTTCAGCTCCCTTCAAGATTATTTACAAGTATTAAAACACACTTAAAGGGCTGAGAAGACTAATTACTATAAAAAATAAGGTAGAAGAAATTGAAAGAAATACTAACCAGCAACAGCAGTGCATTGAGGGCAGACAAATGTTGCATTGAACTCATTTTCCTTAAAGCGTATATATTTTCCTTCAACAAAATCTGCTGGACAGAGCTCCCATTCATCAAACACATCGTCGGATTTAAATTTGTCCTTTTCATAAAAACCACATCGCTTGCATTTTTGGTCGGGAAGCTCTGTTAGTGGCTGAAGATAAAGCAAAGTAATATGTAATTAACCATGCTGATTAAATTCAAAGGAGAAGTTCATTGCCATTAAAATAGGAGAGATGCTCCAGTCAGTAAATAAGCAATCTGAGATGGAAATTATGACAAAATATGTATGGAAGATTTGCCATGGGAGGATATATGCCAAGTAAGGTTGGCTCTGGTTATTTCAATGAAATGATTAGCCGTTTCTTTTTAAGAATAAGTGATACGCTATATCTGCCTAAAATTCTTTCAAATAAATAATAAAATAAGGCTAAAACTTTTGCTAATATCTAACAGAAGGTATAGAATTCCTAGTTCAGGGTGAAGATTGTAGAACGGGAAGGTTGATTTTGTTCCCAGTGGTCCTAACTCCTAAACATCGCTATTTTTCTGTAAGATTTCCAGACTCAAGTGATTGGTATGGTGAGCAGGAAAATTGATTATTTGATAATAATAATGGGAAACTACAATAAACAGTGATCTCATATGATTAACTGTGGTCGGGTTTGCAAAGGAAAATGGAGGACCATGCGTCTATGAAGTACAAACATGATAATATGAGCACGAAGCATGTGATAAGCATATGATAAAATGACATATAACAACAACATCATGATAGACCGGTTAAGGAGGGACTGGTCCAGTCGGCCCAACACTTGGGCCGGCCCCCTGTGGATTCCTCCCCCCCTCCTGTGGGGCTAACTACTTAAGTAGAGAGAGAGGAAGAGGGATTAGGAGGAAAAGTTTGAGTTATGAGGGCAATTTAGTCTTTTTGGGAGTTATTTTGTGTGCTTTATGTAGGATGTTGGAATTAGAGTTAGGGTTATCTTGAGTTTTTTTTTTAATTTTGGTGATGTTTTGGTGTTCTAGCGGCGTCTAGAGATTTGGGAGAGATAGATCCTCCTCTCGAATTAATGATCAATTGTATTTTGCTATTTTCTTTCATCTACTATTTAATCAAGAGTGTTTTTTGTATTTTTTCTCCATTAAATCCTCAAAACCTGGTTAGCGAGTTTGCTGAAATTTTGATTTCATCAGTAATTTTCTAGTTCTACGACTCTTACATATCAAATTGTTATTAGAGCCGCTTTCGAAGCTATTTTGGGCTGTTTTTGGCATTTTCCGACAGATGTTTTCTGTTCCGAACAGTTGTTTTTTTTAGTCAAAATCCGGATTTTTTAGTCTAACAAAAATCTGGGTATCGATGACGGCCAAGAAGGTGAAAGCTTTGGAAGAACGTCTGAAGGGGAAAATGAACCAAATCAAAGAAACGATGGAGGACAAAATTTCCTCCATGGAGGAATAATTCTAGGACCCATGTGCATGAGAAGCTATAGCACCATCGCTTGACCACTGACATAACAGTTGAAGAAGGATAACTTTTTGTGAGGGGAGGCAGCCACAATAGCTTTTGAGAGGTTAAGAAAGGCCATAACCACCATACCGTCATTGCCTACCAAATTTCAGTCAGGTTTTTTTGTAGTGAAGACGGGCGTTTCAGGGTATGGATTGGGAGCAGTACTCATGCACAGCCATCGACCCATTACTTACTTCAGCTAGGTCGAAGTCAGTCCACGAGAGAGAGTTGATGGTCATTGTACTAGCCATCCAGAAGTGATGGCCTTAAACTGTTGGGTCAACATTTCATTGTCAGGACGGACCAGTGGAGCCTGAAGTACTTGTTCGAGTAGAGGATGGTGACAGAGGAGCACCAAAGGTGGCTGTCAAAGTTATTGGGAAATGACTTTGAAATTCAATATAGGCCTGGGATAGAGAACAAGGCGGCGGATGCCTCATCCAGATGTATGGGGGATCTCCATGAGATGACAGTAACGACACCACTGATGTTGGATTGGGGGGTCATTAAGGAGGAAAGTGTATGGGATGAGGAGCTGAGGAGGATTATAATTAGATTTACTCAAGGAAAGAAATATCATAGAAATAGCCATCCTGGCTATTCTCTAGAAGGGGAGAGGCTACTGTACCAGGAGAGATTTGTAATGCCGAGGACATCAGTCCATATTCCACACCTACTGCAAGAGTTCCATAAGAGTGTGGTTGGAAGTCACTCGGGGGTGTAGAAGACCAATAGGAAACTAACAACAGAGTTGTGTTGAAAAGGGATGCATAAATATATGGAGAGGTGGGTAGCCAGTTATGCGGTATGTCAGATGAATAAGTATATGTCTATGGCTCCAAGGGGATTACTTCAACCCTTGGCTCTACTTGATTGGTTGTGGGAGGAGGTCTCCATGGATTTTATAGATGGGCTCCCCGATCTAAGGGGTTTATAGCGATTCTGGTGGCACTAGACAGACTGAGCGAGTATGCTCACTCCATCCCGCTACGAAATCCCTACTTGAAACTTTGAAAGTGGTAGTGGCAGTAGCTTCCATAAGAGAGGTGGTTTAATTGCATTGGATGCCAGAGTCTATAGTGTCTGACAGGGACATGGTGTTCCTCAATCATTTATGGAGGGAGTTATTTAGATTTCTGGGGACAATACTAAAAAGGAGTACAGCTTACGACCCCCCCAGATGGATAGGTAGACGAAGGTGATCAATAGGAGCCTGGAGACATACCTATGATGTTTTGTGTCAGAAACACCTCGACTTTGGGCCAAGTGGCTAGCATGGGAGGAGTATTGGTACAATACTTTGTATCATTCCACGTCTCAATGAAATTCAAGGTGTTGTACAAACGAGACCTACCTCACTTGATGCATTTTGGGCAGAACAACACTCAAGTTTCTTCAGTAGAAGAATAATTGGAGGAGAGGGATAGCTAGGGTGTTGGAAAAACTGAAAAGACATCTATTGAGAGCTCAGCAAATTATGAAGAAACGGACGGATGAGCATATGAAGGACATCCAATTTGAAGTTGGGGATAGGGTGTTCTCGAAGCTTCGACCTTACAGACAGAGGACAGTAGCTAACAGAAAGAATGAGAAGCTGGCTCCACGATATTTTGGTCCTTATGAGACATCAGAGAATATTGAAGCAATAGCTTATCATTTGAGGTTACCTCCCACTGCTACCATACATCAAGTGTTCCACGTATCTCATTTGAGAGGAGCTTTTGAGGATCACACAGCTTGTTCAGAGTTGTCGACCAAGCTGATTGAGGAATTGGAAGTGGTTTTAAAACCACTCGAGCTACATGGGGTATGTTAGGGAGGAGGGATCGAAGAAGTGCTGATTAAATGGAGGGACTCCCAATTATGACGCTACATGGTAGCTGTAAGAGAGGATGCAACATTAATTTTCATCTTTTCACCTTGAGGACAACGTGATTCTTTGGGAACAGGGACCCGTCCAGGAGGGACTGGTCCAGCTGACCCAACACTTGGGCTGGCCCCTTGTTTACAATAGGCATAAGCCTACTATTTTCTGCCCCTAGTGGGTTTCGCCCCCTCCTGTGGGGCCCATTGCTTAAGTAGAGAGAGAAGAAAAGGGATTGAGAGGGAAATCTTGAATTAGGAGGGTTGTTTAGTCTTTTTGGGAGTTATTTTTGTTGGAATTAAGGTTAGGGTTATCTTGAGTTTTTTGAATTTTGGTGGTGCTTTGGTGTTCTTGGCTCTAGCGGCGTCTAGAGATTTGGGAGAGATAGATCCTCCTTTCGAACTGAGGATCAATTGCATCTTGCTATTTATTTAATCTATTATTTAATCAAGAGTATTTTTCATGTTTTTCCTCCATTAAATCCTCAAATCCAACTTGGCGAGTTTGTTGAAATTCTGATTTAAATAGTAGATTTCTGGTTCTACAACTATTTTCCTATCACATCATCAAACTTTTATCCTACTATGTGGTGTCAGCTACATGAATCATTTTTCTCTATCGTGTCATCTAAAAGGTCAAATTCTCATTTAAATCTAATAAAGAAATGTCATTTCTAATACTTTCTAACCAAGCTTTTAGGTTTACCTCTACCCCTCTTAACCTAAGTCAGATCTAATGCATTTGCTCTGCTAATCAAGTCATCGAAAGGCCGACATTTTATTTAACCAACCCATCCAAGATTCTAATTTTATCTGCCATTGGAGCTACTCCAACTTTTTCCCATGTATGCTCATTTCGCATTCTGCCTCTAAGAGTAAAGTAATACATCCACCCGAGCATCCTTATCTATCAAACACTTAACTTAATTTTATGCTTCTCTTTTAATGGCCAACATTCCACACCATAAAGCATTGCAGATCTCACCACCATCATCTTATAGAATTTTCCTTTAAATTTGAGCGATATTTTTCTATCACACAACATGACTGATGCATTCCTTCACTTCAACCAACAAACTTAAATTCTACTAATAATATCCCCATCTATTTTAACATCACCTTGAACAATAGACCCGAGGTATCAAAAACATGTACTCTTTTTAATGACTTGATCGCCCCAAGTCACATTCTCCCCCCCCCCCCAAATCTATAACTACTAACCTTCTACTCCATATATTCAATGTTTTAGATCTAGTCAAACGAAAACCTTTAGACTCTAAGGTTGACATCTATAATTTAAGTTTTCCTTCTCCCTCTCTAGTCTTATCAACAAGAAGAATATCATCAACAAAAAGCATGCACCAGGATACATCATCTTGCAAATGTCTAGTAAGAACATCCATAGTAAAGCAAAAAGATATGGGCTTAGAGTTGATCATTAATGTAATCCAAATGAAATAGGAAAATACTTAGTCAAACTACTTTGTGTTTGAACACAAGTAACAGCTCCAGTATACATATCCTTAATGACTTGAATATAAGTATTATTAACTTCTTTCCTTTCTAAAACTCTCCATACGTCGAACAATCTTGACATATGATAAAATGACATAATTATAAAAAAATATAATACGAAAAATTATGAACACAATGATAACTTTTTTTTTTAATTATTAATAAAAAATATGTATTTTCCACTAAAGATATCACACAATAAAATATAATGCCATGTAATGTACATAAGAAGATTAAAAATAATAAAAGGAAAACAAACACGGTAAATAACAAGAGAAATGATATGGTATTAGCACCAATTATTAAAATCATAAAATTTTTTGATAACATAAACTTAACAATAAAGCAACTTCTAGTTTGGCAAGAAAAGAATACAAACAACAAGAAAACTATACAAAAAATAGAAAATATGGTTGAAGAAGTAAAGCTAAACGCATAGAGCCATCAACATGAGCCATAATACCCATAAAGCATTGCAGTCTCTTTGAGGTAGCGTCCTACACTTTTATACAGTAATTTATAAAATATTCCTTGTAGGCTATTTTATTCCCTTGATTTGATCTTGGTTATTTTTATTGCTTGGACACTAACTACTGCCAACACTGAAAAATAGTTTAATGAGGAATATATGGCATTGTTCTCTAAAGGTCCACCGTGAAATGAGTTAATACATTAAACAACAGAATGTTGAAGTTCACTAAATATGGTGCCAATGGATCAGACCTGAAGTGGAAGAAAGGACAAATTACTCATGGTCATTTTTATAGCTATGATCATCCAAAAATGTCAACTTTTAATTTCAAAAGGAAGAAACTAAATGACATTCATGGTAGATAAGATGATGAAGTAAAGGAAAATACAAAGTCATTAACACTTTACAACATCCAACATATACAATACCTGCCATGACTCTTCGCCCTTAAAAATATATAGAACATGTGTTTTCTTTACATCTGGCAAGACTGTTTTGTTCTCTTCTCCTTGACAACGAAAATAAACAGTTGGTTTTGAATGGAGCCATTCATGAGCATTGAAAATTTCAATTGAACCAAGTGTAACAACATTCACTGAATTACTTCCTGCAGATGTAATAAACCACTAAAAGTATTTTAGAAAAAGAAAGCAGTTTATAATCTGAACATCTGAATACTAAAAGAGATAATGGAAGGAGGCGCTACTTCAATTCATATTCATAAAGAAATGATAATACATCCCTCACTACTCATAGCTACCTGAATGTTTTCATGCAACCAACATATAGCATAAGCAAAAATCCGAATAAATGACACAAACCAACAAAATATAAAATTGCATATTGATTTACAAAATTAAATCAAAACCATCCTACAAGAACTTTATTGTCGGCATGTATAAAAAAGAACAAATTTTACATCATCTACACTCTACAGCGGCAACATTAGTTAATCAGGAGGTTGTTTACACCAAGTGTACTGAAGAAATTAAATAATAGATAGCAAAAATTATACGACTGATGTGCTTCTTTTATACTTCAACGAATTTCATATGTCCTATGCAACAAAATGTTTTAAAAATCTATAATTGAAGGAATAAAAAACAGATGCATCAACCAAACCATTCAAATAAGAAACCAATCTAAACCATCCTACAAGAATCATTTCTGCTAGTTAAAAAAACAAGTAAACAACCATCCATCTTCTGTTATGACATAAACGAACACCCAGAGAACCGAAGAATTAAGCATTAAACGAAATATTAAATCATGGCAATTTCTCAATCAGCCATCAGAAAGGAAAGATCCGTTAATTAGCTTAAAGATCATCGAAACGACATGTCATATTCATGAATTAAAAAACAAAAAAGTTTTTGTCTATCGCTCACCCGTGATTGAACAAACAACAAAGAGAGGGAAGAGCGCAGAAATCAAGATCCCCGAAGGCAGCATATATTCTGTTCTCCTATCACGCGCGCGCCACAGAGAAAGAGAGAGAGAGAGAGAGAGAACAGGAATAGGTAAGACAACTTCAGCGGGATAGAATTGCTGAAGAGGAGAGATCAAATAAAGAATAGAAAGCAGAGGCGGATCGAGGAAGACGGAGAACACAGAAAGCTTCGATTACGTTTTCTTATAGTTTCTCCTGGCCAGGTTTTTGACCTCGGAACTAATTGAAGAAAATAGGCTTGGGGAGGAGAGAGAATAGAATAGAATCCTTCTTTGAAGTTTTAAAGGAAAAATAAAATGAACTATTTTTTAGCTGATTTGCCACCTAAATAATAATTTTATTTCATATTTATCATTCTTATAAAAATTAGGCTAAATTATTTCATATTTATTATTTTATAAAATTAACTCACTTCATCTTAATACATTAGTTGAGAGTTTTGACTATCAATTAAGATGCCCTAAATCGAGATTAATTATTATATGCGAGCCGGAGACCAATTATAATGTGTCACGTCACCCCTTCGTTGGGTACCGCGGCTCGGTATCGCTAACGTGACTGCACTTGATTCATCTCCAGACGTAGAGCTGCAACCGGCATCCGAACAGAATAATTTCTCCTAAATTCAAGTCTTGCGTATGTGATGTGTGTGAATTTGTCTTAATTATCTAAATGTTTAAATAAAAAAATATAAGACGGGATCGAATTCAACTTAGATATATTGCTAAATAATTGAAGCAAGTTAGATAAATTGGAGACCTTTAATAGATTTTTGCGATTAATGTTAAATATGTGAAGTCACTTTAAAAAAATAAATAGCTGATAATTTCAACATGATCATTAAAAAAAAATTAGGGTTCCATTAGATGCTCCAATTTTGAGTTTAAAGTGTGGGTTAATATTTTTAAATAGTGAATAAAATGGCAAAATTATTACTTTTTTTGATTTTTTTTATTTATTCAGTATTTTCAATTTGTCTAAAATGATCTTTTACACTTGTAGTAGTTTGGTTCAATACCATAATTTACACAATGGCCTAAATAATAGTAAAAAAATTAATTTTTATTTATTTAATTGAGATAATACTACTAAAAAATCAATGATAATTTCCTGTAAATTTAGTCTGCATGCGAAAGGAAAAAAAAATTGGGTGATGACAATAAATATGGGCATTGTTATTTTAAAACTCTTGAATTTAATTTAAAATGTGTACTAAAATAATAGATTTATTATTTATATATTTTATTCACGTCAAAATAAATTTAGGGGCTATTTGTTTAAAAAGAATGCAATGTAAAAAAAAAAATACTTTTAAGTTGTTTAAATGAGTGTAAAAAGAGTGCATAACTTTATTTTTTTGTTTGATTTGAAATAAGATGAATATAATGTTAAATATAAAAAGATCGTGGCTAGCAGTGGCGAGTGGCGCCTGGCAGTAGAGGGAGGCAGCTGATAGAGGGCAGAGACCCTTCGGTAGGGGAGGCAGCATTGGTTGACAGCGACGACGATGGCCAACAAATGGCAACGACAGTGCAGTAGCGATGTATTTAGAAATCGCCCAAATATGAAGAATTTTAAATACACCCAAATACACTAACTAGCATATTTAGAATACACTCATTTTACACTCTGCATTCTTTATACTTTAAATCAAACATTAATATTTTCAAAACTTCTATATTTAAAATACTTAACATCCTAAATGTGACAAATCAAAAAGCCCCTTAAGAGATTTAGAATCTACCATGACCAAAACTTTGGCAAAAAAATCTCTATCTAATTTTTCTCTAATTTAAAATATGAAAAAAAAAAAACTTCAAAATATATTGATGAAATCGGTGATATATCTGAATTCTAATCTATAAATAAGAAAAAATCATAAATTTTTTCACACATTACAGAATTTTAAAGCCATCCTACCACATTCTACATAGAATATCCTTATGTAATTTTCTTAAGTAGATTTTTGGTGATATAATCCATTCCAAACTATATCAACAAGAGAAATTTCATAGAGAAACAAATGCAAAATCATAGTCCATACAAGCAACGTCTTAAGTACAAGAATAAGAAAGCTATCTCAAATAAAATCAGAGTCATAAATTAGGCTTCGTTTGTAATTGCTTCTTAAAACTTAATTTTTGTATTAAAAAGTCACTTTAAGAAGCAGAAAGAAAGCTGTCACAAACAAAACCTTAATCTATAAGCTAAAGTTAGGTTTCGTTTGGGACGGCTTTCTTATTGTTTTTTAAAGCAGCCTTCTAATATAAAAATTTTAATTTTTAAACTAAAAAACTGTTTTAAGAAGCAATAAAAAAATCGTTCCAAACGAAGCCTTAACCTAATCTTCATTGAATACCTTATACTCTAACTGATAAGCTTTGGTGAAGAAGGAAGGCCAGCACAGATAAGTTGACATAACGCAGCTAACAGTAGAGGCACCAATTACCATATTCATGACAACAATCTGGAGCTGAATAGCTTTAAGGGGAGAAGCTCCACCCATGATGAGTCCGGTCATAGCACCTGGAAGAGAGATAAGGCCTACTGTTTTGGCATTATCCAAAACAGGGGATAATGCAATGATGAGAGATCTCTTCACCTGATGAAAAATGGCCTGGCGTGGTGTTGCACCAAGAGCAAGCGCTGTCTCCACCTGTTAAAATAGAGCAAACGTTTAGTAATCTTGAGTTGAAGTAATGAAGCATTTTGTTTTCTGAATTTTATCTGATTAAGATTTCGTTTGGTACGATTATACTGTTTTTTTAAATAATTTTTTAGTACAAATATTTTTTTATTAAAAAGTTGATTTAGAAAGCAATAAGAAAATTATCCCCAACAAAGCATAAGACTTCGTTCGGGATAATTTTCTTATTATTTTGTGAAGTTGTTATAAAGAAAATAAATTTTTAAGGGTATTATTGAAGAATGCAACTTTATAATACAATTTTTTTTTAAAAGTAGCAAAAAAAAAAAGACCAAATAGAAATTATAATTATGGTATGAAAAGTAAGGCAATAAAAAAATAATCTCAAACCTAAATCATTTTTTAATCCTAATAGTTAATTTCATGATACATGGTGTATGCTTTTTGCTGACGATATTCTTCTTATTGATAACACTAGAGAGGGAGTCGAAGGTAAACTTGAATTATAGAGGTCAACCTTAGAATCTAAAGACATTCGTTTGAGTATATCAAAAACTGAATATATGGAATATAATTTTAGTAATAATAGATCTAGAGGAGGGATTAGATCAATTTTTATTAAAATTTATAAATATAATTCTATGTATTAATTAGGTTTTATGTTTAAATCATTAGCATCAAATAAATAATTAGTTGAACACAATAAAGCTCGACTGTGGCTTTGAACTGTATTAAAAAAAAAACAAATAAACAAAGTTGAACAAGATTTTACAATTTAGGCCATGTTCAAGTTTGACTCTAACTCCATATGAAAATAACTAAAGAAGTTTCAATAAGACAATACTTGGCGCGATTCAGTTTATTTACAATCCTAATGACAACTACAATTTTCACAATCAAACTCTAATAACATCTTCAAAATTAACAGCATAATATAATCATCAATTGGATATATGAAGTTGTACAAAATCACATAATTTTTAATAAATCGATCCTTTTTTATTTTATATTCTTTTTCGCTCTCATTGATTAAATTATGTTTCACTTATTCCCAAGACTTGCAGTAAAAATAAGAATCAGGTCTGGGATGTAGCAGTGAGAGTGTAAGACAAATGCCTATCTTGGCAAAAGGGTCTCATCTTGAAAACATTGGATTGTTAACTAAACAGAAAAGGAAAACAGCATAAATATAAGTCATCAAATTTAGAAAGCTAGAAACATGGACTGACCACTAGCTGGTAAAGTTTACTACGTTTGTATAACTACAAAAAATCAGATCAAAGGTAATTGAGTCTGAAGAAAAATACGAAGATATGAAAGGACTATCTAAAAATTTTATAGCTTCCCGTTTCTAATATAGTGAAGAGTCTTAGATATGAGAATAAATCAAAACTAACTATACAATATAAATAAAATAGGAGAATACCCCTAAAGGCACCAGCAGCTATGGGGCACATGGGTTGCGACCGAGGGCTTAAGCGAGACAATCTAAGGGTTCAAAATCATTAATCTATATGCCCAAGAATTCCTACACGCGGGTCTCATCATAAGAGGGCGGGGGTAGTAGGTCCCATAGTTTTCAACACTCTCCCTTAAGCTAGATGGTATAAGTCTACCATTCTAAATTTTCTTATAATATTTTTGAAAGGGGAGTTATAAAGTGCTGTGGTGAATATGCTAGCAAATTAAATTCCTATTGGAAGATATGAAATGCAAATTAATCTAATCTCTAATTTCTCTTTTATGAAATGAATAGCGTTATACCTACACCTGTTTGGAACAATCATGCTATGCTAGCTTGTGAACAATGCTCATGGTAGATTTATTGTCATAGTACATCTTAAGCTCTTCTCTTCTAATTTTTAAAACTGCTAAAATTATTTTTTATCCATTCAAGCTCATGATACCTTAGGCAATTGTTTTGAATTCATATACAACACTGGATCTTGAAATAATAAGTTGCTTCTTGCTTCTCCATGTTATAAGATTTCCTCTCAAAATTATAATTCATGGGCCTTAAGCGAGGCAATCAAAGAGTTAAAAGCCATTAATTTGTGTGCCCAAGGATCCCTACTATGATTGGTAGGTATGCGGGTTCCACAATAAGGGGTATGAGCGAGTGCAATAGGTCCCATGGTCGTCAATAGAGTACCTTCAATCTAAGTAGTTTATTAGAATATGTGAAAATAAATATGTTTTGAGATATAAATTATCAAAGAGATGATACAATGTGTAAAAACAAAATATGTTTTTTTATTTTAATGATGTCAATTAGGGATGCGAGTGATCCGAATTCGAGAGCCAATCCAGTTTCAACTTAAATATATAAAAGCGGGCTCAAAATCAACCAATAGATCAAGATGACTCAAGTTCGAGTTAGTTTGGCTAGAATCAGCCTAATTTTTGAGCTAGCTCGAAATAATTTATTTATCTCATTTTAAATTTCCTAAAAAATATATTTAATATGAATTTAGGTATATGCAGAACTTGGTTTGATCTCAAATCGGCTAGGTTCAACTCAAAAGTAGCATGAAGATCATATCCAGAAATTTGATGCTGGCTCACCTCATTTCATTTGGATCAATACAAGCAAAATTTGAGCAAAAAATCAATTCAGTTTTCAAACTGAATCGAATGGCAATCAAAGGTCTTGTACGAAAGAGATTTATGCAGCAAGCTATAATCATTTTCTTAAATAATAAACAGAGCAGGACAAACCAGGTTCTTTTGAATTTTGAGATCTTCTCGAAGCTTCTTCATGGTAACTCCAGTAACAGTCATCGCATTACCAACCATCATGCCTGAAACTGGGATTATGTAACGTGGCGTGAAGGGAAAAACATTCAGCACAACAAGCAAGAGCATAGTTAATGATGTTCCAGCCAAAATGGATACCCCTGCTATGTACTTTCCACGAGGAACATGCTTAGAACGTTGGCCTGCTGTATACCCAGCAACTAAAACCTGCAAAATGGACAGTAGATGTATCAAAAGATGTGGAACAGTTGGGTTAATCTGTGGACAAGGTAAAGGAATAATTAAGGTGATGTGTCAATGCACTCGACTTAAACGAGAAGTACAATTTCAACCGCAATTGCAACAACATGCAAGAGACAAATTGATCACAATTAGGCTTCGTTTGGTTTTTCCTCTCCTTTTGTAAAAGGTAGTTTTAGAAACATTGGTTAAGAGAATAGAGTTTTCTAACGGAGAATCAAATATCAAAAAACTTCTCAAAATAGTAGAAAAATGAAGTTTCCCTAAAAAGCATTTCTATAAAAGCTCCCATCCAAACAGCGACACAAAAATAATTTCGCCGTTTCTAAATTAAAAAGATTAAAAAATACCGAAACAAATGAGGTCTTAATTTAGCACGCTCAGACCACCTGTTTAATTGGGGCTTATGATAAGTCATTGCACTTAACTAATTAACTTTTGTCCTTCAAAGAGAACACATTATACAAACTTAACCATGGTTCGACCTTACCACTAAGGTAGCCGTGAGAGTGTGATGCAAAGTGAGAGCCAATATTTGCAGGTTATTTCAATAAAAATGTTATGAGAATTTTACTTTATTTCAATTGGCTAATTTTTCTTGTTAAAAATGAGGGCGTCATTTCTATCTTGTATCTGAGGAAATAGAGTTATAATTATCTGCAATCAAAACCATAAGAAAATCAATGAAAATTACATAAAGACACAAACATCATTTGGATAAGGCATTATAAATTATATACATTTTTGCATGCTGACCACTTGATCATCTATGATTTTATTCTTTTTTTTTTTTTAATCTATGATTTTATTCTTCTTCACTCTCCACGTTTAAATTAGGTTTTGTCCATTTCCCAACAACTTAATTGTCCTAGTTACTTTATCATACAATCCTCAATTCTATTGTTTATTCATCTGTGGCCTAATAAAAATGTTTAGCAACCAGTTAAAAAAATAGGTTTAAAAACTTATATTTAGGGTTTAAAAGTTTCTCTCTTTACTTTTACGAGGCAAGATAAAGCTACTTATTCAACTTCTTCAAATTATGTGAGAGGGAATTTTATCACTCTTCAAAATCACAAAGTTTCATATTAGCCTTAGCCTGATAGTTTACAATAGAGGATGTACAAACTTAGCTGACCTAAATACTCTTATCATGGAATGAAGCTATACTCAAAACAAAATATAGTGAAACAAGTTAAAATGTTTTGGAAATTATAAATTTTGTAACTACCACTCATATGTTATATGCAACTACCACCCATATGCTAAATTAGTTTCAACCATTCGACGAAGAACTTCATAACTCATGCTCAAGTGAACTTAATGCAATGAGGTTTATATAACGCAACAGTCTTTTTAAGCTCTTGCAATGTTCGACCACATCAATCAATCTTGATGAAGCATATGATTAGAACTAATTTCAGAATATCAGCATAAACCCAATCATCTAATTTAGATCGTTGTTGGCACCAATAAAAATCTTTGGTATAGATTTGACCATTCGATTTAGATATCGATCAGCACTAATCTCAAGGACTAGGAACTTCATCGTCATTAGAAGCGCAAGGATCCAACAAGAAGATCAAAGGTAACAGGCAAAGTTTGCACCTTTCAATTGACCCTCGATCAAAGAGAATTTTAGTTTGGCATAAATCTCAAAAGAGAACTCATTAATCCACCATATAATTTTCCAATAAACCAAAGCACCGTCATTCAAGCACTTATAAATACCCCCAAAGAGGGCAAGGGCAAGGTAAAGGGCTCTCCACTCTCTAATTATTTCATCCCAAAGGATAAACTATGTTGAATCGATTTTAACTGATTCGCTTCCTAATTCAATCACTTATTTGACTACTAGAGGTTCTTTCAGGTAAAAAAATCCGAGAGTTGGCCTGCTAACCTTTTGCTTCAGGTGATTGTGTGCAAAACAAAGTGTTGAACTCAACACGATCCTCCAATCCAAAACCTAGGGGCATTGAAGATCTTCTGGCACACAACAAGGGTATTCATGTTCTTACCCGCTAAGCTGGATTGTACTTTTTTTTTCAAGATTGCTTGGGAGCTATAGTGGTTACGCAGGATTTTCATACTGCATCAGATTCTCTTTAGTTCAACCATATCCACCTCTTCAAGCCAAATCACTAAATTGAGATAGCAACCTACTGCACTCAGGCTCACAAGGCTCAGATAAGGTGACTCTAAATCCAAATGGGCCTAATAAACTCCCTAGTCCCCATGATCTAGTCGGAAACATTACATTTCCAGTCCTAAATCCTCATCAAAGTCGAAATAAGTAAACAACCAATCATCTAAAACAGAAATCTAGAGAAGCCTGACCATGAACAAGTAGGCAAGCACGATCCATCCAGCATTCTTCTGCGTAAAGATAAACTCAAGGACGAATCCAATAACGGAAAGCTGAAGGAAAGTCCGGGCGATAGAATACACCATCTCCCACTCCAGTCCCAGCCTTTGCACAAAGGAAAGCGCCACCGCCATCGCCACCACCGCCGTCGCCGCAGCCGGCTTCAGCATGCCACGCAGAAACTCCGACCAGAAGGAAGAATCGTATACCTCCATGTCGCCGTCGTCCTCCTCCCTCGAATCCAAATCGGGAAGGACTCGAAAAAGATGTCGAGACGTACATTCTCCGGCCGATGGCGAAGGGTGTTTATGGAAGCTAGTGATGAGGCGAGCTCATCCAGGGGAGGCTACGAAGGCCAAGGGGTTATTGGAATATTCGGTTCAATATTTTTCAAATAATAACATTTATTATCAAAATAATATATTTAAATTATTATTATAAAATATTATTTAAAAATCAATTATATTTTAAACCTTAGCTATCATTTATATAATATATTTATGATTTTTTTTTAAATAAAAGTATATCAAAGAACCACTAAATTTTGTTAGAGGGTTTATACACATGACCATCCTTTTATTTATTTTTTAATTTTAAAATTCATTTCTATCACTTTAATTTATAAAATTTGTTATTTACCCTTCTTTTCTTATATATAAATGATAGCCCATCTCTAGCAAAATAATTATTCAAAATAATCCAATTTATTAATCTTGTAAAAATTAATCTTTTGATGAAAAATAATAATATTTATTTTTCCATATATAAATAAAAGGGTATTTAGAATGCAATATTTTCAAACAACTCTATTGAAAACATTAGCCATTACATTTAAATCCAAATTTTACTGATTTTAAGCTTGTTTTAAAAAATGGAGATAGAAAACACAACAAAAATAAATTTGAAGTAAAACTATAGGAGAATGCAATGAATTTTAACTTTTTTTTGTAATTATAAGAAAGTATTTAGCTACAAGTGCAATAAATATATCATTTTTAATTGATCCAGATTTTCTTTGGAAAAGTTTTTTATTACTTTATTGTTTACATCATAAACATAATTCTGTTTGATTCTTATTTTTTCATTATTTTAAATAAATTTTTATACTGAAAATTTACTTTCTCCAGCAACTTACCAAAAGAAATCTAAATCAACTGAATTATGATAAGTATGTGAATACTTTTTGACCTGCTAAATTATATTTCTGCTAACCTGTAGAGCCTTCACAATAATTTTTCAAAAAAAAAATCTATAATACTAGCAAAAATTTTTATTTTGTTCACAGTAATTTCATAATAATTTTTGCATTCAGTTTTTTACTCGAACCCTAAGGTTTCGTTTTGGACGACTTTCTTACTGCTTCTTAAAGCAACTTTCTAGTACAAAATTTTTAATTTTTTTAAATAAAAAACTATTTTAAAAAGCAGCAACATAGCCGTACCAAACGAATCCTAAGTTAATTTACCTTTAAAAAATCATGTGACAGACAAGTAAAAAATTCAATGACTATTTGTCATCTTTCTTTGGCTTTCTGTAACTTTCTTCAATGTGTTTTGCTTCTGAAGACCATTCCTTGAAAAGCTTCTTTATGTTTGGGACATTATAGTTCTGAGCAACAAAGATTCCACAGCCAATTCCCATTAAAAATGAGAAGCTATTCGTGAATATCCCCATCTCAATTTGCACGCCTCGGAAGAAGAAATCTTTTGCTGCCAATTCAAAGAAGAATATGATTGTTGAGACAGATGATGAACAATAGGCTGATTCAAGACAAGCTATTACTGCATTAAGGCTTCATTTGTGACGGCTTTCTTCCTGCTTCTTAAAGCGGATTTTTTGTACTAAAAATCCGCTTTAAGAAGCAGAAAAAAAGCTGTCCCAAACGAAGCTTAAATCACTGTAAGTTGGACTACAAAGCAGGCTGATTAAAGACATTCTGCTATCAAATTTTCATTTATTAGAGAATCCATTTGAATCTGCAACAGAGCTAATTTACCAAGAAAAAAAGTATCATACAGAAAGCTATCAACGGCAGAATAAATCAGAACATAATTTTTTGCACAAAATTATTGGAATGGTAACTATGAAGTTATACTTATGGTTGACACAACACAGCCTGAAGCCTTAACCAGGTTTGGGAATAGGCAAAACCCCATTCAAAGAAAGATAGCTAACATTAATAGAAAATACAAAAAAAATAAATGCAAAAAATACAAAATTTTATTAAAGTTTGCGCAACTTGTGCAATTACAACTCAAATTTCTCGATGATGCTCTCCTCTTCATAAAGAATAATCTAAGCAACTGAAAATATAATAAAATTTTCAAAACTACTTTAATGAAATAGCCCTCAAATTCTCAAAATCATCTGCGACTAAGGTTTCGTTTGGGATAACTTTCTTACTGCTTTTAAATTCTTTAAAAAGTAGTAAGAAAGCCGTCCCAAAATGAAGCCTAAATCTGAGCATCTTGTTTTTTTGTAGGACAAGAAAAATTAGGCAACACAACTTAATCAGCTAGAATTGTTGATACATTTAAGTTGAAACTAATCAAATGTAAGTTTAACCCAACATAATAACCATCTCGATCAACTCAGTCAACCATTTTAGTCAATAAGAGAAAATAAATAAAATCAAACAATAACAATAACATCAAGTATTTATCCCACTACATGGGAAAAACAAAATCAAACAAAAAAGAAATTAATAATTTACACTGGCATTCACATAACACAATTATAATAATCTTTAGTTTCTAGAAATAGTTTGTAACCTTTCAAAATTAAATTTCAATGAGATTAATAGAGTTGATTAAGATCACAACACAATCAATTGATTCACAAGGGATTTGTTGATCAATTTTATGATGGGATGAACCCATCATATAATTTATTGTGATACTCCAACAATGACAAATCTACTCTCCACCTCTAGTTTTGCTCTACCATAGCCATCCTCTCACTCATTGCCCTAGAGCTCATCTGCAAATTTGTTGTTAAGTGTTGCAGAGATGAGGATGCTTAGGTGGATGAGTGGCTTTACCCTTAGATATATGATACGAAATGAGCATATACGTGAAAAGGTTGGAATAGCGCCAGTGGAAGATAAGATTAAAGAGAGTCGCATTAGATAATTTGGTCACATAAAACGACGGCCTTCTGATGACCCGGTTAAGAAAGTAGAGGTATTAGATTTGACTTATGTTAAAAAAAGTAGAGTGACCTAAAAAGACTTGGTTAGAAAATATTAGAAATAATCTTTCTTTATTAGATTTAAACGAGAATTTAACTTTTAACATGACACAATGGAGAAAAAGGATTCATGTAGCCTACCACACGTAGTGGCACAAAGGCTTGATGTTGAAGTTGATGTTGTACTCTGCTACTAATAACAGTAACAACACTGCCTTAACCACTCTTGCTCCTCTACAACCTCTCTTTTTATAATAAATTATTTCTTATTTTTATTGGATTCCTAATGCAAGTTAGGAATTGAATTATGGAGAAATTTTAAAGTTCAAATTAACTGAAACTAGTTGTTCTTTAGTTAATTCCTATAGATTTTGCATAGCATCTTATTTAAGGTCATTTAAAAAGTATAAATTAGATTTCCGTTACATTTTTGAACAATGCATATTAAATGAAATTTCGAGATCCCTCTCTTGAAAGCGTACTTGCTGGATGTGAGTTTTTTTAATATTTTATAGGTGTTAAGGGGAAGACTCATACAAATGTGAGGTATAATTCTTTCTTTTCGAGTAATTTCTAATATTATTCTTGTTTTTTTAATTGATTAATTGTTGTTTTACGTGATCGTTGAAATTTAATTAAGTGTAATACATGCAATATTTTTATTCTTTAAAGTGTGAACTTAATTAATTGTTAATTTTATCATTCACCAATATTTTCTGATAAAATTCCAAATTTTGGGCGATCATTAAATTCTCTACTAATGTACAAAGTTATTACTTCCCAGAAATTACAAGTGGCATACTTTTGCCAAAATTATGAGTTAATACCCTAGAGTAATATATTAGGAGACATAAAACTCATCATTAATACCACCATGATAGATAAAAAGTCTAAACAAAATGAGGAATGTATTAATACCACCATTAGGAGACGTAAAACTCACCATTAAAGAAATAATCATGATAGATGTTACGAGGACTTCACCAATGAAAATTATGATAACCATTAACGACAAGTCGACAACCCTATAATATAATGAGGTCATAACAAGGAAAATTGAGGTTGATAATAATAATGTCGCTTACAAGGAGAATATATCCTAAAGCTTTATCTAATTAGGTAAAGGCTATGTATAATTTCTTTGATTGATAAACTATAAAAAGAATTATGCATTTAAATTTGAGAAACTAAAACTTTTTGGTCAAGCAAAGAGGTATTAGATAGGCATAGAACAATAATGAGAACGCTTAAGCCATAACCTATCATGACATGATTTAAAAAGAAATTGTTACTAAAAGAAGAAACTTACTCGTATATAACCAAGATTGACTGCCCGATGAGAACCCGCCCAGTTGCTATGGAAGATTTACCGCACGGGTCTTGGCTATATTTGATCTTTGTACCCTTCACGAGGCACAAGTAAAAATATTTCAGGTGATGAGGATGATCCCAATAGGTTTAGAGAATAAACAAGAAATTATGACTGTAAATTATTTATGAACAAATTTGAAGAAGTGTTGTTAAATTCTGAAACTACAAAGGATCCAAAAACAATGCTTTGTAGATTTAGAATTGGCTTAAGACCTAAACTCAAAAGATAGATGACTAGCCCTAGTATCAACTCATTTGAAGAGGCCTTTCAAATAGCTTTGGGTATTGAAATATAAAAATATTATTCACCCAAAAGAACCTCTTCAAGAACAGGATATTCCTAGAACTTTCACAATTTTAAAGGGTGTGCTAGTCCTACCCAGACTTATAATAGCACATTGCCGCAAATGTGAAAAGTTCAAACCTACTTGAAAAGGTTACTTCATTATAGAATAAGCATAAGAAGGTGAATCTTATCAATTCATTATCAATGAAAACACCATTCAATGCCTACCATCAATAGGTGTTAACTTAAGAAGTACTATGCATAAAGATGCCCCCTTCAAGTTTTGGTTTTTCTTTTCATTCAAAATAAATGTTATCATTATATCATATTGTTCTTTGGTGGACAATGCACTTAAAAAATTATTTACATTGAAGTTAATAATAATATTCCTTGTGGATTGTTTCTTTAATGTAATGATTGTGGTGTACTTTTTCCTGGTGTTACAAACTCCTTTGTGTGAATAAGGAAATATTTTTGCTTGGCATATACACTTAGTTCCCAATTTAGTTCAATTTTGAGCTAAGTTTGAGTCAACAAAACCTAAGTGTAGATCATATATACAATCAATCCCATGTTTAACATGATTACAAGTTGAATCTAGTTCAATTAAACTCAAATGTAGATTCAAATTTCTTCCCCAACTTCTCTCCTCACAAACAGAGCCTAGAATAACAAAACTTAAACACAAAATATATATCCTCCCTGATTTTGTCGCTTGAATGGGCCCAAGTTACCAAAGTCAACTTTTAATCGAAATATCTTCCCCAATTAAGCTCCTTACAAGCTGAGTCGAAATTAATAAAACCTAAACACAAGTCTATATGAATCCTCTCTAGTTTGTTCATTTGATTGGGTTGGATCGCCTATATGAATCCTCTCTAGTTTAGTCATTTGATTGGATTGGATCATCAAAACTCAAAGTTTCGTAAAAGTGAAGTGACGCAAATTATAGTGTTCTGGTTTAATCTTTCGATTAGATTTAAGATATCAAAACCCAAACATAAATCTCTGCAAACCAATTTTTTAACAACTCAAGTCAACTCATTTAACTAAACAGTCTGAGAACTGAGCCTAAGCATAATGCTCACTAAGTCCAATGATTGAGTTTGAAGGTTAACTCTTAGTTCAACAAGCTTTAGGGCTGAGTTTGCAAGAATTTTGAAATCACACACCTATTGGTCCAGTTATCGAGTTGATTCAACACACCCTTACAATTAAGCTACCACCACTTCAAATTTCAACAAGCCCAAAAATTTAAAAATGAAGACCAAAATTCTTTCAAGGTTAACATGTCAAGGATAAGCCCAAACATAAAGCTCAACAAGTTCAAAGATGAATGTCGAGTGTTTTGAATAGATTCAACACAACTCAGTGGTCGAGTTGGCATCTACTCCTAGTTCATCAATTACGAAGATCAAACCTGAACATTGCCCTCAGTGGTTGAGTTGGCATCTACTCCTAGTTCATCAATTACCAAGATCAAACCTGAACATTGCCCTCTCACCTCTCTCAGTTAAACGTGCCAAAGAAAAAGCCCAAGATTTATCCAGTTCAATAATCCATAAAGCCAAATAGGTTACCTACCAATTCTGAGATTCAAAAGCCAAACCTACACAAAGTTTAACACACAAGATCAAAATTGAATTGGTAATTTCCCCAATTATGAGGTTCAAGGTTGAGCTTAAACATATAGCTCAGCATGTCAGAGCTGGAAGGACAATTCGAGCTGGAAGGACAAAAGATAGAATTGGTACCCTTCTTATTCATAAACATGAAAGCCGAGTTGGGGAAATAAAATTTCCTAGCTTCAAAACCTAAGGTTGTGTTTTGTTTGATTTACAAATTTGACCTCATTATTAGTATACGCAATCATATGATGCATTTTAACACAATTAATAACATACAGATTTGACATAAGTCAACTTCATCCTACCTTAGTTGATTTTAGCACATATACTATGCTTATATGCTAACTTAAGGAACTTTCTTGGCTCGTTTATAGAGGTATATGTTAATGCCATGTTGATGGAGATCCGAGCTTGATTTTTACCCTCTTGAGATTCTAGAAAAGAAAAAAAATTGAAGTAGGAGTTTTCAACTCAGCTTCATCCTAATCTTTAAGTCAGCTCACAGACCTACCGGTCAAGTTATTGGGTTGATTCAACGAGCCCCTATGACCAATCTAGCACCCCTTCAAATTTCAACAAGTCTAAAAGACTACAGTTCCACAAGTTCAAAGATCAATCACAAATCTTTTGAAAAGATTTAAGACACTCCAATGGTTGAATCAGCTTTCACTCCTAGTTTATTAATTACAAAGATCGAAACAGAACATTTCCCTTGCCTCTCTCAAGTTAAGCATGTCAAAGATCAAGCCCAAGTTTTATACAACTCAATAGTTCATAAAAGCGTAAAGCCGATTTGGTTGCCTACCAGTTTTGATATTTAAAGGCTGAACCTAAACATAAAGTTTAACACAAATGATCGAAGATTGAATTAGTAATCCCCCAATTATGAGGTTCAAAGGTTGATCCTAGACATATAGCTCAACATGCCGAAGAACGGAGTGTTGACCCGTAACAACATAGCAACCTAACCCCACGGTTAGGGCAGAAACCACCTCAGTCCACGACAGACTACCCGCGATCTCGCACAGTGGTCGCACATAGAAACGCTCTCAGAACGACAAAAAAAAAACGCAAGCAAGGAAGATCGAGGACTTACCTCTCAATCGTTCTGCTGCGCCTCCAACCTCCGGTCGTGCCCTAGAGTTGCGACCGTCGACTCACCTCAGACGAAAGAAGCCCAAGCCGCACACAACTTCCGATCGGCCTCTTTCGCCACTGCCCTAACCGACTGCCGCCAACCTTCACTGCTTAGACCGGCCTCCAAATTATATAATATAAATAATATAATATTATATTTATTTATATAATATTATGTTATATTAATTTATATATATATATATATATATAGACTTGAAGACCTTTTTATGGGATCGATTCGCTCTACCAATCTCCTCGCTGTCGATTTAATTCGGCCGAGTCGAGCACTCTCTTAATTCCCAGCATCGAGGAGGGGACGCCGGAAGACTGCCGAAATTTACTCGAAAACCATGGAGTTAGCCAAAATTTTGTAAAGATTGAAAAATACTTAAATGACCCTCACATAATTGATTAAAAAAATAAAATTTTATTATTTTTTAATCAATTTAAAAATAAAGAAAAAATGATCTGAGCTTAAATTGATGAATATAAAGGACTTAAGTTAAATTTTGAACCAAAAAATAGCACTCAACATCTTTGCAGCTAGGGGTGTCAATATATGACACGACCCGAAAACCCGACCCTAACCCAACACGAAATTTTCGGGTTCGGGTCAACCTGAACTCGAAACGGGTCCGGTTCGGGTTAAAGTTTTCAACCCGTTTGAAAAAACGGGTCGAGTCCGGGTTGACCCGGAAACCTAATATTGGCCCGGACTGACCCGAAAACCCAATCAGCTCAGCCGTTCGCGGTCCGTATCATCCCTTGTCACGTCAGCTCCGCCATCCACTTCTCTTCTTTGTCTCATCACATCGCATCAGTCAGACGTCCGCGATTGACGACTCCGCGTCATCCCGAATTCTCGCCATCAATTGTCTCTTTCCCTTCACCTTATGCTGTCCACGAGAGTCCAGACTCCAGACAAACTGTCGTTCGCATGCCCTCAAAGGCTCAGTCTGTTCAGACTTTAAAATTTCGCATGTCGTCGGTCAGTTGCTGACTCGACGTCGCATTTTCCACTGCCGCCGTGCCGACTGGGCTCCCATTCCGTCGTTGTCTAGTCCTGTTCCAGGCCTTCCGACATTCTATCGTCGTTTCCAACGTCCATTGAGTCCGATTTCGTCCGCAGTTATCGACGTCCTAAGCTGTAGCCCTCGAATTCATCCCGTTAAATTCAATTTAGCGGGTCGTGTCGGGTTGACCCGAACCCAAAGCGGGTATGGTTTGGGTCCAAAAAATCGACCCGTTTATAAAAATGGGTCGGGTTTGGGTTGACTCGAATTGTGCCGGGTCAGTTCCGGGTTCAACCCAAACCCGACCCATGACCCGAAATTGACACCCCTATTTGCAGCATACTTTTGTGAAACATACTATGCTCGAATTTGAGAGACATAATTTATCAAAACATTATTTTATAAGAGTGATTGGTGGTGCAACAATACTTATGCTTGAAATATAGTAACGCAAAATCATTAGTCCTTGTATTAATACACACTTACTATAGACAATGCTGATACAAAATTTCATTTTTATGAGTAACCCCATGTAACTCAAGAATGTCACAAAATGGTTTACAAAGGATAGGATTTTTTATTGGGGTCTAAACCCTCAAATCAAGCATGAATTTCTAATTAATTAGAATCTATAAAATGAGAGGAAGGTAAAGTATTTTCATTTGTCTAAACCATTAAACAATTGATAGTGCACCTACTAATGGTTTATAAGGTAACTTGTGCTAATGACAAGTGACACAATCTTGTTTCAAAAAAAAATCAAGGAAACTAACAACTGATTTTGACTTAAGTTGATTATTCAAGAAAAAAAAATTTGAAAACAATGTTTTTGAGATTACATGAAATCAAAGCATATTGATTTGATGCATCTTTTAGCCAAATCAAGATCATGCCACTATAGTCTTTGATTGAAAACATTTATCCTGCATCTCTATCTGTCTTAGCAATGTATGATTGAAGATGGTTCTT